CTTGGCAATAAATATATTTTTTAAATATAATTTGATACTAAGTTTTTGAGAATGTATAATCTTTAACATGCAAATCATGAATATGAAAAAAAAGCAACAAAAAAGAATTGAAAATTAGAAATAATAGTTATATTAAGAAAACATTAGTTTTTAGATGAACCACTTATTTGCATCCTTCTCTAAGATGGATGGTTTAGACCTTTGGACCGCATATGAAACAAATTTCCTAAAGTATATTGATTTATTATTGGTAGGATTTTGCTTCAACGTGCAAGAAGGTATATCAGTGACCCGAAAAAGGAGAATGTTTCCCCTCTTTCTATGTTTCGTTTTTTTCAAAATTTATTTATTTATTTATCATATTCATGATCTCCATGTTAAAGATTATATATTCTTTAAAAGTTAGGATCAAATTATATTTAAAAAATACATTTATTGTGTAGCCCGCATTTGTACATGGGCAACTGAGCTTATTTTGTACGAGCTAGTCTATAGTGAATAGCTAAGTTAGAATTCTTTGCACCTGGGGAAGTACTCCGATAAACTGACTTTTGCTTTTTCACCATGCTGGTTCTGAGACAAGTGTAGAGCCACATGCGGATTCAGTCAGGGTGTTTGGGAATTGTGCAAATGGAATGTGGTTCTCTCAGAAAACGAGCAAAACATAGAGGGAATCAATTGGTTCCTGATATTTCACGGGAACCGACTTGCCTTGATGATTTTCAATCCAAATCAGCTAATTCTAATTCTAATTAACGTTCTTTTAAACACTAATTCGAATTACCGGACCTGAAATATTTCAAGCGCTCCAAATTCCACAATGGGGGGCTGAAAATAGACCCAAGGCCATGAGTGTTGCGAAAAGGTTTTGAGGTGGGGCTGAAAATAGACCCAAGGCCATGAGTGTTGCGATAAGGTTTTGAGATGGGGCTGAAAATAGACCCAAGGCCGCACGAGGCTTTGGGATTACCAAAACGTTGCTTTTTCTTATGTAATTTTTTAGTCCCTTCTGTTTTCTAAAATATTGGATAAAGTGGATAAATTTGGATTGGCCCCATTTTAGATGCGGCTCATTTATATGGGCCAGCTTCTCTCCCTTGTATGAAATCTAGTACGTCCAATAGGGAATTAATATAAAAACATTATTCTATAAATATAGTATGAAGTTGTGAAACGCATTCCCAAAGGCTCTCAAAGGTACCAAGTCTTCATTTCACCTGACAATGATTGTTGACTCGATTATTATAGACTTTTTGTCTATAATCTTGCTTTTTCACTAAGATATACCACTTCATCAAGAGTATTGAACCATTATTTTTCTCACAATATTTTATCTCTAGTCGGGATCTATCTCATCAAGAGTATTGAACCATTATTTTTCTCACAATATTTTATCTCTAGTCGGGATCTTTTATAGAATATGATACCAGAAAGAGGTTGATGGGTTTAGGGAGTGTTCAATGCCAACAGTTTGTCAAGATATAACTTATTCTTTTCGATTGGACAAATAAAATGTGCTTCAAGAATGTTTAACTTATTTTGTTTTAGTAGAAAAAGGAACCATGCCCTAATATATAAGTATAATTACTACATTGTTGAGGTTTAATTGTGTGTTATGGTTTTGTAACAGGCGTTGAAGAATAATAAACTGTTTATCTTAGATCACCATGACACCTTCATGCCTTACCTGAACCGCATCAATTCCACAACGACCAAGACATATGCTTCAAGAACCCTCCTATTTCTCCAAAATGATGGGACCCTCAAGCCCTTGGCCATTGAGCTTAGCCTTCCCCACCCTGATGGTGAAAGCCATGGCGCTATTAACAAGGTTTTCACCCCTTGTGATAATGGTATTGGCGCTTATGTTTGGTTGCTTGCTAAGGCCTATGCTGCTGTCAATGATTCTGGCTTTCATCAACTCATCAGCCATTGGTACATTATATAAATAGACCATTTACTTTTAATACAAGTCATAGTCACTCTTGTTCGTCATATTTCAAACCAAGAGGTTGTAAGTGTGTCATTGATTAGACTCAAAGATTAACATTTTTTTTTGAACTTTGCAATACACCCAAACCATCCAATTTGATATCTAAGGACTAGAAGAGATTGTGACCTAATGTAATAATACACCATCTCTTTCTTTGAAGGAAAAAGTTTATATAAAGTTGCAACTTTAAAATGTAGAACTACGGATGCACCTCAAAAATCCATTGGAAAGGGTTGTTTAATTGTTGAAAACCCTCTAATTGATCATCTCAACATTGAGATGTATGATTGTGGAAAAGAAAAAGATTTTGAGTCCCAGAAATAGTGTATCTTACAACACATTCCATTTTCAACATTTTCATTTGTTTATAGATCTACTTGAGTTTAACTATTTTTAAAATTTAAAATTTTATAATTAGATAGAAAATTAAATTTTGAGATAATCCTAAAAATATTTTACATCAAAATTATATATTATGATAAAATTTGAAGGTGTACTTTAATTGGATTGTTTAAGGTTGAAACCTTATGGAAACCGCACCCTAAAATGTAGAGTTTGACTTATGAAACCGCACCCTAAAATGTAGAGTTTGACTTACTTTTGAACTTTTGAAGTAGTCCTATGGCAAGGGATATTTTTGTCTTTTTGTTTACGTTAGGGATTCATTGGATATAGACTTGAGAGCTTTTTTTCAGATCACTTTATGAATCTTTTTAGGATTATGTACGGAATATGGTACATAAATATTCCATAAGAACATTTTTTCTCTATCCTCATATGAAAACTCTTTATGTTTTCAGATTTTTATTGCCATGTTTGTTAGGGGTGGAAATGGATCCGTACCCGACCCTCAACTAGAAGGGTAGATTTGATCTGGGTCCAAAAATTGGACCGGATGGGTCAGGTCCTCGTCTAAATTTTGGACCTGAGTATTATTTTGATCTGGGTTCGAGTTCAGTAATATTTTTTGTATCGCAATTATATATTTAAAAATAATTAAATATATAGATATTTTAATTTTTGGGTTGGGTCCAATCGGATCCAGGTCTCGACCTGCTGCTATTGTTTGCTTAGGTCAGGACAAAGTGCGTACAAAAAAAGGGTCAAACAAATCCCCTAATATTGCTTTTTCAGGGGAAGTCTAGTGCATTGAATTAGTGGGGATGATCGACAATATCACAAATAAATGGTTTGTTGGGCAGGTTAAACACGCATGCAGTTATAGAGCCAATTGTGATAGCGAGCAATAGACAGCTAAGTGTGCTCCATCCCGTCCATAAGCTTTTGCACCCTCATTTTCGAGATACAATGAACATCAACGCATTGGCAAGGCAAATACTAATCAATGCCGGTGGAATATTGGAGATGACCGTCTTTCCTGCTAAATACGCCATGGAAATGTCTGCCGTGGTCTACAAGGATTGGGACTTCACTAGACAGGGACTCCCCGCAGATCTCTTAGACAGGTAGAATCATATCACCCCTCTATTATTTTAGAGAGAGAAAGATTTTGTTTTGAAGTGATTTATGTACGGACCCTAAAATTTTAAGTAAAATATAAAATGTTTCTCTTAAATGTAGAAATTACAAAAAAGGTTAGTCAATCTCATATTTTGTTATGTTTTTTTAAAATTGTCTCTCGGTCAATCTGAATTTTTGATTTTTTGTTTGTGGGGCAGTGTCCTAAGTTTTAAGGCACATCCCTACTAATGGAAAAGATAAAAAAACTAGAAGAAATAGAATTCGGGTTGACCGAGGGATAATTTTGAAAACATAAAAAAGGCGAGTTGACCTATCTTTTTTGTAATTTCTACATATTAGTGGAACATTTCGTATTTTACGTAAAATTTTCAGGTCGGTACGTAAATCACTCTTTTTTTTTCCGTACTTGTTTATAACTAGAGTGCTTTATGTAGAGACTTTAAATTTTAGGTAAAATACAAAATGTTTCGTTTATAGGCAGAAATTACAAAGAAAGTCAGTCAACTTGCTTTTCTTTTTATTTTTTTCTACAATTGCCCCTCGGTCAATCTGAATTTTTATTTTTTATTTTTTTCGCTAGTTAAGGTACTGCCCGACTAATGAAAAAACTAAAATAAAAATTAAAATTCTGGTTGACGAATGGTAATTTTAGATAAAATAAAAAAAATTGAATTGATCGACCTTCTTTGTATTTCCTACCTATAAATGAAGTATTTTGTATTTTACCTTAAATTTTAGAGTCGGTACAAGTAAATCAATTACCATAATGGTTATGAGTACTGCAATGCCATACAGCACGTAAATGTTATAATTACCATGATGGTTATGAGCACTGCATTGCCATGCAGCACCTAAATGCGTTTGTCTTTCTGCAACTCATGACTTTCTCATGTCTTAGGGGGATGGCCGTGGTCGACGAAAAAAAGCCCCACAAGCTCCACCTCCTCATCGAGGACTACCCTTACGCAGTCGATGGTCTCGAGATTTGGGGCGCCATCTCCACCTGGGTCCAGGAATACTGCGCCATCTATTACCCTTTAGACTCCGCTGTCGCATCAGACACAGAGCTCCAATCCTGGTGGGCCGAGGTGCGTAATGTAGGCCATGGTGACAAGCGCAGCGAGCCATGGTGGCCCCAAATGAGCACCATTCATGAACTCACTGACACAATTATCACCCTCATCTGGGTTGCCTCTGCTCTTCATGCTGCAGTAAATTTTGGTCAGTATACCTATGCAGGGTACATGCCCAACCGCCCCACCATCAGCCGGCGCTTCATGCCCGAGCCGGGGACTACAGACTATGAGAAACTCGAGTCGGACCCTGATGGGTACTTTTTGAGTACCATTACTAACCAGCCTCTCACACTTTTGGGAGTGTCCTTGATCGAGATATTGTCGAGGCACTCATCCGACGAGCTGTACTTGGGGCAGAGGGAGTCTTCCGAATGGACGGCCGATGCGCAGGCACTGGAGGCATTCGAGAGGTTTGGAAAGAGGCTGGAGGAGATCGAGCAGCAGATCATGACCAGGAATTCAGATCACCAGTTTAGGAACCGGGTGGGGCCTGTCAAGGTGCCCTACACGCTCCTCTACCCTGGTACGTCGGATATCGGCACTGCCGGGGGGCTCACCGGAAGAGGCATACCCAACAGTGTCTCCATTTAGGACCACAAACAAATACACACACACACTTTCCCCTCCACGGCTCTCATAATTTTAGTGTCTTCATTTACAACCACAAACAAACACACACACAGTTTCCCCTACATGGCTCTCATAATTTTATGAGAAAAAATCTCTTTGGTAATTGTCCTTGAGTCCTATTTCTTATTTATTTGTTTATTTTATTTGGACATTTAAAAGGTCATGGTATATGTAAAGTTGTAAATCTTTTATCTCATGATCTCAGGATGATTTATGGTCGTGTGGGTGGTAAATGTTTGGCTTCAGATGTTATTTCATGTTGATGCTAGATAACTTATTCCTAAAATTTTGATAGTAAATGTCCTTACATTGTATTGTTTCTAATGTTAAGATTAGGGCATTGGAGGTCATTTCAATAGCTCGTGCCTGTGAGTTAAAAATCACTGGTTTGAATCAGGACTTGCCAATCCTCATTGGGTTAGTTTAAGGACTATCTCGAATCTCTATGGAAATGAGAAATTTTTTCATTTTCTCACCAAGTTCTGTCAAATTTGTCCGGAAATGTTCGTCTCACATTGATTTAAAATAATCGGAATAACGAGTCCAAATAAAAAACCCCTCAAATGAAATTCGGTTCTTTTTTTCCATTTTTCTTGCCTTTCCAACATTTTCTTCAATTCTCATCTATTTTTAATAAATGTTTTCTCAAGAAAACACATTTTTTAAGATTTAAATCATATTTTTTGGATCTATACGGGATTGTATACTATGAGACAATTTAACTTTATTAAGAGAGCATCGCATTTGTCCCTGACGATTAGTTATCAAATTGGATAACTGGGGTGTCTCACAAAGTTTGAGAAATTGGTTTTGTACTTCAACAGTCTTACAACCCTCCAAATTGAAATTTAACCGATAAAAGTGAGTGATATTCTAGACAAAAGTGATTGTGACATTCTTGCACTAAAAGAAATTGACAAAAGTAACGGTGACATTGTGAATTATTTTTTTTTTATATTATGAAACTTTTATTTGAGAAATACTTTCTATCAATTTCACGAAGTTTGACAGGATCTCTCTAGATAAAGTCCTAATAAATAGCGCTATCTAAAGAAGATAATAAAATAAACGTCCTTTTTTGATTTCCAAATATTACTAAAGAAAGATATTTTTCTTAATTTTGAAAGGGTAAGATTTCTAGAAAGGTGTCAACCTCAAAGAATCAAAATAAGTTGCACCTCCGAGCCATGTCAAAAGCTGTTACAATGGTTTGGAAGTCTCTTTTAACCGGTAATTATGAAATTCAAAGCTCTGAAAATGGTGTAGATTGTGTAAATCTATGAAAACTTGAAAATCTTGAAGACGGACTAGTCTAGATAATATGTAAAAAAATGAACAACTTTTAGGACTTGAAGTCTTTTTTTTCATATTCATACTGACATGTTCAATTGAAAGGTTTTTTAGCATCAATTTTTAACAAGATGTAATATGTAATAAGATGCACAACTTTTAGGACTTGAAATCTTTATTTTCATATTCATACATATCAAGGTTGAGATGTTCAATTGAAGGGTTTTCTAGCATCAAAACAACATTTTTTGATGGGTTTTTGAGGTGTGTCATACTTCTATAATAAAATATTAATGAGTCCTTTGTCTCTTAGAAGATATCTGATACTTTCAATACACAAAAATGATAAAAAATTTAAAAACAAAAATATTGATGAGTTGTGCAAACTTTTACAATCTCTAATTTTTTTAGTTATTACTTTTATTTATAAATTAACAATTTAATTGAGATTTTTCAAAAATGATTTCTCCTCACAATCCATATAAAGAAGGATGTCATGCATCTAAAGAAATTAAGGTAAAATTCAAAATTTTAATCTGTATTTTGGATAAAAGTAAAATAATGTGCCACTTTCTTTTTTCTAATTAGGGGTTTTTTCTAAGAAAATAAAAATTTAAATTTAAGCAATTGAAAAATAATTTACCATCAAGCATTTGTTTGTAATAAATAAGGTTTCTTTACATCACTTACCCCCCCCCAAAAAAAAAGGGTTTTCTACATTTTCTGAAAACTAAATTGTTTTCTGAAAACTAAATTGTTTTTACTAAAAATTTAATCTCTCAATTTAAATAAGCGGTTAGTGGAAATATTTTTATTTTTATTTATTTTTAACAATAGTGGAAATCTTTCTTTACGGTCAGAATGAATAAAGTTTCATGCAATATAGGATAAAGATAATTGTTACTTTTAAATTTTATTATTTTCAAATAATAGTAAGAAATATGGCACTTTTTTATTTTCAAGCATTTAAAAGAATCGAGAACCCAGCTAAGGTCTAGACTTCCATCCTCACCTAACACATTAAAAAATCACTAAGGATAGAGGCGCGTCATCCCTATTGAATTACCAAAAAAAGAAGAAGAAAAAGCATTTAAAATTCAAAAAATAATTCACTGTCATACAATTGTATTCTAGTAAATAAGTTCTATTTGCATTTGTAAGATAAAAATAAAATATCAAATTAAATTATTTCCTATTTTAATAAGTTTATAGTTTAAAAATTAAATTATGTAAATTTAAGTTGGAGGTCTCTAAAATCATTCATACTTTGGTCGGAACCTGTCCATTGGGGACCAACGTTATTGTAAGGTAATATATGATAGGTCCATATTGCTTTCTAAGCCATATGATTCATTGAAGCCACATGATTCATTGTATCCAAGCGTGAATGTACTGGCACTCCCTATGAGAGGGTTGTCTAACTAAGTTTTTGTAATCGTTTTCTGTAAAAATTAATAAAACAAAACAAGTAGGAGCTTGTCATCTCCACTCATTTGTCAATAAAAACGTTGGAGTGTAAATTGAATTATTTTTTTAAAAAGAAAGGAGGTGGTATTATTATTTTTACAAAAAAAAAAAAAATGTCGAAGTGTGAATCGAATTATTATTATTTTTTTAAAAAAGAGGTGGTATGTTCTATATAAATTAATAAAACAAAACAGGTAGGAGCTCGTCAACCACCACTAAATTACATAAAAAAAAGTTGAAACGTGAATTGAATTATTATTATTTTTTAAATAGAGGTGTAACTGTACTATTGGAGTTTTTCTCCTTATCAATAAATACTTATTGTTAACATTACAAAAAAAAAAAGTGGAATTTTCTATATAAATTAATAAAATATAACGGATAGGGGTTCGTCATCCCCACTTAGCTAAAAAAAAGTCGAAATGTGAATCAAATTTCTTTTTTTTTAAAAGGTGCAGTTGGCATACAGATGCATCCGTAGTTGTAGAGGTAAGGTGCACCTTCAAAATTTATCATGGTATATAATTTTGATGTAAATTTTTTTTAGGTCTATCTCAAAATCTATTTTTATATGTAATTATAAAACTTTAAATTTAAAAAATGATTAAAATCAAGTAGATATATAAATATATAAAAATCTTGAAAATAGACGGTGTAGATAATATGTTGTAAAATGTACTATTTTTGAGACTTAAAATATTTTTATTTTTTATGATCATACATTTCGATTTTGAGATGATCAATTAAACTGTTTTTTAAGATTAAAACTACCTTTTTCGATGGATTTTTGAAGTGCATCCGTAGATCTACAATATAAGGTTGTATGTTTATATAAACTTTTTAAAAAAGGTGGCATGTATGCAAAGGTCGGTGGACGGCGACTTGCAGTCAATAGTTATGACAAGTGGCAGGCTCTTCCTTGATTAATTTACCATGCCAGGGACAGCACGAGACGAGAAATAAATAGAGGTGCGGCTTTATCTTAGGCTTTGGCTTTATGATATTTGGTGCAAAATCTATCAAATAAATATAATTCTATTGGAGTGGTCAGATTATTATGCAAAACCTATCAAATAAATATAATTCTATTGGAGTGGTCAGATTATTTTTACATAGGCAGCCTATCGGTGAAGCTACTGCAAATAATGTTGAAATGCTTGCTCTTTTTCATGGTCCGAAGATTTTTTACAAAAATAAATTTGGATAATTGTTATGTGATTGAAGAGGATTTCATAAATACCATTAGGTGGTGCAATAAAGAGCAATGGGTGCTATAGGAGCTTAAATGAGTTTGGTTACATATTCATGATTTGGCAGAGGCTTTGACTGTTTCTTTTCAGCTTGTTTATAAGGAAGCTAACTCTTTAACGGATTATTTAGCTATAGGTGGAGTTTTTTTTTGCCTTCGTTTTTTATTTCGAATGATGTAATCCTATTTGGGTAATATTTTTATTCAACAATGGAAGATAATATTTGTCAAAAAAGGAAATGTAATTCTATTACGAAATTTTTTACCCTTAACTATGAAATTGAGTTCCGAAAATGGAATGTATTTGGTAGATTCATATATGGACATGGTTTATATGAGTGGGACGACCCATAGATATGCGCCCTCTCACCATTCTTTTTTCGATATCGATTTTGAATCCAATATTTTTGTTATATATAATCTCTAATACAAGGATCATTAACATGTAAAAAAAAAAATCGAATTTAATTGAGAATAATTCTCGACCAATCGGTTTAGTCCGCACCACTTTTATGCATCCATCTTTAAGATGAGTGCTTCAGGGGACACAAATGACCTTTAAGATGAGTGCTTCGGGGGACACAAATGACCTTTAAATGGGTGCTTGGGGGGACACAAATGTAGAATTGCGTCCCCTGACTTATAATATACTTCTACTTTATAGATACTTAAAATAGATGCTCGAGAAAAAATATTACAAGACAGGTAACTTTCAAGACTTAGAAATTATTTTTCATTCAAATTCATGATTCTGAGATCAAGATGATCAATTTGTTGGTTTTCTGGTATCATAACTATATCTCTAATTATATTTGAGTACATCTATTAGAAATCAAGAAATATGGAAACAAATGCCTTACATGTCCAATCTTTTTTGCCTCAATATTTCTCTCTGCACTTCTCTCAACTCTGCCAATCTCTTCTTTTTTTTTTTTTTTTCTTTTTTGTCTTTTCTTTCATGTTTTTATATCCGTACTTTTTCATTTTCTCAATGATCTCTTATCAACTTCAAAGTAAAAAAAAAAAACTCAGTTATTGGATCCCACCAAGATTGCGTACTTAATCAGCTAAAAACAATATTAGCAAGAGTATGAACCATAATATGAGCATCAGAAATAAAACACAGAAACACATAAACTACAAAAACACAAAAATTTATGTGGTTCACCCTAAAAAAGGTTACATCAAGAGCTACATCAAAGATTTTGAG